CACACACACACACACACACACACACACACACACACACACACACAAGCAGCGCAGGAGCAGCAGCAAACAACAAGAATGCCAAGACCCGCGAACAGCCACTGGGAACCCAGAGGGGCCCTGCCCCTTTCGAGACACAAGAGTTCCACAGGGACTCTCGCTGGGACCTCGGGCGGCTGTCATATGCCGCGTCCAGCTGACAATTCGCCCCCAAAGGTGCACCGTTCCAGTCACTCACCAAAGGCGGTTGCTCAAATCAAATGAATTGGGGCGAAGGCACGTCTCCTCGGAAATCCCCTAGTTCTGGGGAGAGCACTCCTGTAAAAGGAGGTCTCCTTTCTAACCAGGCTCGGACAGTGGCAGTAGGATCTCGGTGGAACCTCCAAATGTTGTAGCTACTGTCCATTCCCAGAAACTAAACCCAGACCGCCGACAAGTTCAAAAGTTTTATTACCTGCATAGGGACCGTCAGCCCTCTTTGAGAGGAGACTGAGCGGTCGCCTGTCTAATTTTCCAAAGTTTTTTATACTTTGGCAATGTGCAGGTATGCAAGCAAGCAGAGTACAGAAGTGGGATATTGAGGCTAGCCCTTCTTAGTTGAACAATCACTGCTCTTAGTTCTTCCAAGCCTTCTGAAAAATACATTTCCTTTGGTACAGTCTGCTGCGCTTCTCAGCACAGCCTGCCTCCTACTATCAGCTAGTTTATTTATAGTTTATAGCTAGTTCATTTATAGTTCATAATGGCTTCTGTCAGCTCAGAATGGCTTCACTCTTGTCAGGCTGTTTAAGCTTTTCCTAGAGCTACTACACTATAACTTAACCAAACATACTCAAGTCGACCTTTACTATTTTTCACAACCTGCTCTAACTAGATATTCTGCTTGAACATAAAATGATTTTCTTTTTCTCTCCTAAGCAAAAAACAAAATATGAAAACTTATTATCAGTCCTTCTGTCTTCTTTCTATCTTTTTCAGCCCATGTTAAACTTTTTAACCCAGTTCTTTTTCATTGGGTAGACTGGACTGCAATAGAGTCTTTATATTTATTTTTTCACTAATATGATGGAGTTTCTTCTTTACTTCAGAAATTATATGGGTTTTCACCTGATGTCTTTTTGGCTGAGTTCAACTTTTATTTTTTTATTTTTATTTTATTATTATTTTTTAAAATCATTTTATTGGTAGCTAATACAAATATTATATCATTTCATAATTCAACCACATCAATCTTTTATTTTTTTATTAAAAAAATTCATTTTATTGAGGCTCTTACAGCTCTTATTCCATACTTCATTTGTATCAAGCATATTTGTGCATATATTGCCATCATCATTTTCTTTTTTTTTTTGCCATCATCATTTTCTAAACATTTACTTTAAATTTGAGCTCTTGCTATCAGCTCCTGTTTTTTCCCCTCCCTCCCCCTACTCTATATTCTTTCATATTGGTTTGCCATGTCCTAATTGCATATGATATACACACATTTGAAATCAAGGAAGGCATACACTAATTTGAAAAAGCATCAAGTTAAAATGGTCAATCTTATTTGAGCCTCTAGGTAAGTGGGCAGATTTGCAAAGGATAGATTACCCATCAAAACAATTAAAATGATCTTATTAAGATGTAAATAT